GTATAATTGCCAATAATGCAAATACCTTTCAAAAAAACAAAAGAACATAATTTGAAATCTCGAAACACTAACTTGGGAAGCAATAGAACACTTTAGCAACAAAAATCCTCGCGAGTCAATCCACGTAAGCCACAACCGATGCTCAAGAGGCGTGCTTTATGAAAATTATCAAATCTTGCTCAGCTTAAGACATGTATTAGAAGCCACAATTCTTTGAATTTTGATACAAGCCATTTTCAAAAATATTGAATCTCCAAATTTTTATGATTTTTTTTATGGACTAGCTCTTATAACCATACACATCAAAATTCATAAAAGGTTTTAATTACTACACTCAAAAAAATCTCCGTAGAATAAAAAAACCTATAATAGGTTTATAAAAATACAACAATCTACAAAGGCTTCAGACGCACATCAAAGTTATCAATGTACTCTTCAAGGACACATTGGCTATTCTAATGAATATTCAAGGCTACATTGACAATTTTGATATGTGCCTAAAGAGTTTGTAGATTGTTGCACTTTCATAAACTCATTATGGGTTTTTTATTCTGTGGAAATATTTTTTGAGTGTATTACAAGATCAAATTGACAAAAATCTAAGATCTGTTGTTCTAGAAAATTATAAGAGAAATTCATTTTTACCCAATGATCGTTTATTATAATTTATACAATGTGCACCAGCAAATTTCCATCCTCTGCCTGTATAAATTTGTTGTTGGTCACCATCATAATCACACAGGAGAAAATTATAACTAATATCAGCTAAACTTTCTGTATCCATGTTATAGTCTTGAACTCCTTTCATTTGAGTAATACAATCTTGCTGATTCATAATTGACTTCAAACCTTCTAATTGGTGTACAACAATATTTGTAACTGGTAATGTTGTTATATTTGCACGATTGGTATACGGACGTGCATTCCAGCTTGAACGTTTTAATATATTGGGACAACCTAAAAGAAGTAAATATCAAACATATCTATTTTGTACTTGTTCAACAAAGAATAGAATTTTTTCTTGCAAAAAATAGTTTACTCTAAATCTATCAAGTTTTATTAATCTATTAACTGAGAAATCAACGTTATATGTTTCTTTAAGGTCTATGAAATATAGAGTTAGTGATTTGATTGGACAAAATCTGAAATCAAAATCAGTGGCTTTAATTGCCAATAAGGAAAGAATAAATTTTAATTAATATGTTTAAAAGTCAAAATACACATATTTTGACGCAGTTGGGAAGAGATTTCATATTTTAACTTATTAGAACCTTCTCTGGCAAGTCTCTTTTTTGTTATTTCAGTTTTACCTGGTGGTAATGAATAATCGTCATCATCATTATCGTTTTGTGTGGTAGGCGTTGTCATGGTTGTAGTCTGTTTCGTGGAATCCTTTTGAATAACGAAAATAAAAACGAATATAACAATTGAAGCCAAAAGAATAGCGAACACTAAAAATCCAATGATGGCATAAAGACGACATTTTCGTTGTTTGAATTTTTGATATTGTTCAACATCTTTGATGTCATTATTAGTTGATGATAATGATGGTATTCTTGATGTTTCATTAGCTGAAAATTTGACAGAATTGAAAGAGTTAATTTTTTTTTTCGAGATATATAAAGAAAAAATATCTTACTTTCTGATTCATTTTTATTATCATATGGATCTTCACATTCTTCTAATTCAATTTCAATTGAAATTGATGCTGTTGGATCATCAAGATAATTTCGTTTAATTGCTGTCACTTTAAAAACAGTAAATGGAAGAATTAAAATTTCTTTTTCATCTGGTCTTGTTGATAAACTTTGTATATTGATAGCTGTTGAATTTTGTTTTATTAAATATTGACATAAACATGAATATTGTAATGCACAATGATCTTTAGGAGTATATCTCATTTTCGATTGTTGACCTTCACCAGCAAACATTTCAGCTACTTCACGATCAATTGATGTTGATAAAAATGA